TTTAGAGCAAGGCATTTTAAGTTTTGCATATTGTTTGAAATTTACTTTAAGTTACCCAGGGACTTCCTTTTGTAGTAATACTTCATTTAATTATCAAGGTTGGCAAATCAAATTGTTTATGTACCTGAAATTTCCAAGTGATTGATACACAACTAATATGAATGCAGTAAAAAGACTCAGAGGACCGTGAGGGGACTTCATCCATACCGTTTTTGGTTTGTTTAAAAGAAATTTTTTGAAGTGTATTTATTTAATCTCATGAGCTGTGAGATCAGGACCGAAATCAAGAGTCAACACTTAACCGACTTAACCACCCAGGTGCCCCTAGTTTGCTTTTTAAAGTAATGTGCAGGTATATTAGTTGAGTGATGGCAGCTGCTTTTGAGCTGGTGAAGATTTACGGGAGCCCCAGAACCTTTGAGTTATATAGTGGTTAAGCCCCAATGGTAATGGGGAAGACAGGAAAGTAGATGGCGGGGATTTCTAGAAACAGGGCACTAACACTTACCTACAAATTTCTCCCTTCTAATAAAATCTCTCCCCACATGGCAATGTCAACACACTTCGGTTTTTTCAAGTGACATTAATTCATTCAGCAAATACTGTCTACAAAAGGGACTGTCAACAAATTCATTCGGCAAACACATAGTTCATAGGGTGACAGTGTGACATTAGTTGCTTTATTAGAGGCATCATCAAATCTCAGTGATTTCCCAAAGCGGATATTTATTTCTCGTTCTTAGAAAGTTTGATGTGGATGCACCTGGTTGTTGGCAGAAGTGGAGGGAGAGTATCTGGCTCCATGGAGTCATTCAGGGATTCAGGTAGACCAAGGCGCTGCCATCCTCAATGTCGGGACTCCAGGGTCACCTGAGTCTCAACATCCAGCTGGCAGATAGGGGAGGAGAGAAAAGATGGAATGTGGGAGGTCTTTGTGAACACAGCGGGAAGTGGAGCATAGCAGGGACAGCAGAAACAGAGTTGGAGGCGCTGAGGGGTTTCACTGTTGAGGAATGTTATCAGCCAAAAGAAGAAAAAAAAATGTTTTAATAGTTCAGTTTATCACCTTCAAATTATCTTCTGAAGATAACTTATAATCTAGAGGATTACTGTCACAAAGGATACAATTTGTTTTTATGGCTCTTTGATTCCTTCTGCTGGATCATTTCCAGAAGGAGTAGGTCAATTACTTGTGGAACCAGGACCATCTGGGCATGTCTCATTCCAAAGCAGCCTCTGCAAATGGCTTTTCTAATTGGGTAATTTGAAATCTCCAAGGCTGGGAGGAGGCACAATTAAACTTTTCCCTAAATTTCAAAAAAGATGGAAAGCTTTTCCAGACCAGGAGTAGAGATCACAAAACAAATTCAGAGAAATAAAACTTTTTATTGTTCTGAAAAATCCTGGGTAGTTAGAAAGTTTTAAATAATAATGTTAAAGATTTTATGTTTTCTGTTTAAAAGTATTACTTATGATGGTCTATTTTGCTGATCCATGTCTTTCCAGAATTACTTTATTTGGACTGTGGTGGTGACCATGGCTGGAAAATTTGCCATAGGGGCAGCGTTTGGCCTCATTTACCTTTATACAGCAGAGCTGTATCCAACCATGGTAAGGTAAGAACTACTTATTTTTCTTCTGTTTCCTTGTTGTCTTTTACTTACATGTCATTTCAATATATTTGGCCTTTGAGTATAAATGCTTTCTTTCGGTAGCAGTTACTGGAGCGCTGAGATAATGAGAAAGTTACAGGATGACGCTAATTCCGAATCGGAGGCTTTGTCTACACTTCATTAGCAAGGATAGTAAAGAAATTGTTTGTGAAATCACACTCTATTATTCTAGAACCATTCTAAATCTCAAGTGCAGTTGACTTACACTGACTCTCCATACGACTCAAGGCTAATCTTCTCAGGATGTGCCTCTTGATGTTCTGATGTCACTTGTCTTAATTTCTAGGGCTGCTGTAACAAAACACCAAAGTTTGGGTCAAACAGCAGAAATCTATTTTCTGGAGGCTAGAAGTCCAAGATCAAGGTGTTTGGCAGATTTGGTTTCTCCTAGAGCCTCTCTCCTTGGTTTAATAAGAGATACTTATGCACTTAAAAAATACATTTTTTCCTTCTTACTAGATATTCTGTAAGGTTTCCTTACATAACTTTTAACAAAAAGCACATTAAGGTATTGCTTGGGGCTCCTGGGAGGCTCAGTCAGTTAGGCCTCCGACTCTTGGTTTTGGCTCAGGTCATGATCTCGCTGTTTCATAAGATCGAGCCCCACACACTGGAAGGGCAGAACCTGCTTGGGATTCTCTCTCTCCCTCTGACCCTGCCCTGCCCGCACTGTGTGTCTCTCTCAAAATAAATAAATAAACCTAAAAAAAGATATTACTTGGCTTTAAAAAATTGAAATAGAATGTTCCACAGGTATAAATCTTCCGTTCTCCCAAATTCCCATTCCCTACCCCAAAGGAATTCCTGCTCTAGAAGGCTGATGTTATTCTCAATGTTAGACTGAATGAATATATAGAAGGGCCTCATCTGCGTAGCAAAGGAAGAATGGTTTATCTTTTTTTTTTTTTTTTTTTGGTCTTGAACTCTCTGTATGCTTTAACACACGCCCATCTAGAACGTGGATATGAGAATGCACAAGTGATTCTTGAAACAGTGTGAAATGATTTTCAAGTATATTAGGACGAGCGTAAGTGTTCTTAGGTTTATTTTGTGCTGGGCGTGTGGACAGGGGCTGCCTCTGTGCTCCGCTGGGCTTCAGTTCTGGCTGCTGTCTTTTTTTTTTTTTAACATTTTATTTATTTATTTTTTTGAGAGAGAGAGAGAGAGACAGAGCACAAGTGGGTGAGAGGCAGAGGGAGAGGGAGACACAGAATCCAAAGCAGGGTCCAGGCTCTGAGGTGTCAACACAGAGCTCGGACGCGGGCAATGAACTCACACAAACCATGAGATCGATGATCCTGACTTGAAGTCGACTTAGCCGACAAGCCACCCAGAGCAAACTCTTGGGCTGCTTAACGCTCTCCCGTTGCAGATGCTCGCAGGTAGAGCGAGCATGGTGAGTCAGGCGGGGAAGCATCATGGCCCGATTCTGCTTATCGCCATCTTCTCCAGCATTTGGAACTTCCTACCACAGGTGTCCATCAGTTTATAGGCTCTCACTGAGACAGCAGAGAGGCAGAGCAGCTAACTGCCTTCTATCTCTTTACTCATTGGAAGCCAATTTGTAATTCAATGATGGAGGTTTCTAGAAACGTGATTAACAGCTCACCAGTCGGTAAGTAGAGTGGTGGCTGCTGTATTCCTGTTGGTCGATCCCTTCCACCACTGGTGAGCTGTTAACCGCAATCGTGCCCACTGTGGAAGGACCCTCTTCCCTCCCATCTCATGCAGCTGCGTGGGGAGAGCTCTGTTGTCCGTCCTCCCTCTGGGTTCCCGCTGCATGCCTGCTGGTCAGGGTCAATTCTGGAGGCTGCCTGCCGCTTGGAGGGTTCTGTGGTGCCTGGTGGAGAGGTTTAGGGTCCTGGTTTTCAGCTTACCTGAAACTTGACAGGCTCTTCATGGTGAGGAGGAAGAAGATGGGAAGCAGGTGGGGTGGGGGGTTAGGGAGGCAGGGAGGGTTTGGGGGCGGCCCGAGGTGCTCTGAGCCCTGGGTCTGTGGCCCTCTCCCCCTTCCTTCAGGTGCCCTCTGCTGAATTTCTTTGCCGTAGCTCTGTCTAGGCTGTCCCCTCTCGTCCTCAAGGCTCCTCATTCTTTTTCTGGGTTCCCCTTAACTAGACTCACTCTCTGGGAGCTGTCCTGGCTATCCTCCCCAGTCCCTGCATGGATAACCTCTTCTCAGTTCTTCCTTCCCTTCCAAGCTGCAAACCCACCCTTCTGCTGGGCTCATGGATATTCTCCCTGGGTGTCTCACAAACGAAGTCAGCTTTTCCCAGACTGAAGGGGTCACTGCTTTAGAGCCCTTCTCCTCTGCTTCCCGCTTTGGGTTAGGAGTCCGTGGCCTCCAGCCTGACACTTGAGCATCAGCGTTTCATTTACCCTGTGCTTCTGTCCCCCTCTCCTCCCAACCCATGACCCCAAATCCTCCCCTTCTTTCTCAAAACCACCCCAGCTTGCTTGCTTCCAGTTCAGTTGCCCCCCACCTTCTGCCTCCCAGATCCTCTCCCTGCGCTCACCCCCACCCCATCAGAAGAGTTTGCCAGACCACAGCTCTGACCCAACTGCCCCGTCACCTTCAGAATGGACTAAACTCCAAGCTCTTCCGGATGTTGAAGTCCTTTCCAGATGGATCCCCTGCAGATCACCCCTGTCCTGTTTTATTTCCTCACCCATTTCCCTCCTCTGCACCCTTCTCTCCTCCTGTGCCTGTTCCCCTCTGCAGAGAAGCCTCCTCCCATCTCCGCTTGCTAAACTTCCATGTACCCTTTAAGAGGCAGAGCAAACCCGACTTCTCTGAGAAAGACCCAGATCCATGACCCCACCTCTCCCTTCCTTAGTCTGTGTAACATTTCATATGTGCCCCTTTCCCAGCCCACGGCCACAGTCTGGCTTTATTATCTTCATGCATGTTTTTGTCCCCTTCCTTAAACTGTTGGCCTCTTGCAAGACAGGGCACTTTGTATCCCCACAACTGTGTCCAGCAAAAGCATTTCCCTCACCCTGTGTGCCATTCACGTTATAATTTATTTGATATTTTAAATCAAATAGACTGGCTTTTTAAAATTAGCTTTGTCTTCAACACTATTGTCAGAGAAGTCATGGGTGTTTTGGTAGTTATCGGTTTTTCAAAATACAGTAACAAAATCTCACAATAGAACAAAGTGTGTGATGCTACCTTAAAAAAAATCACCTTGCACGCACAGGTACACCTGCTCGTTGGATGTCTTTGGGAATCTCACGTTCCAGCAACAGGCACTCAGTCAAGTTTGCTTAACTGAGGTGTTGGGATGCCAGCATATTTTATGGGCTGACCCTGAGGTTGAGAAATGATATGTGCTGTCTAGCCTGTGCGGGGAGGTGTTTTTGGAGAGCCCACCATCCTTTTTAGGGCATGGGCTTTTCTAGAAGCATCTCCTTTAGGCTAGCACTTTGTGTTCCTCATTAAATAAATAGAAGATAAAAATGGAGAAGGCATTTTTGAAACCAATAAGCTGAAACATACAGAAGATACATATATCTATAAAAGCAAGCTACTATAAAAATACTAAAAACTAATAAAGATGAAAAAAAAAAAAAGACACCCATAAGAGTCAATTAGGGGCTATGTAGTCAAGAGGGATTTTAAATTTTATCCAACAGATACTTAAATGGCACTTGTTATGCAAAACCACGAAAATTGGTCTTCATAGAATGCAGATACTGTTCATTGCTATCCCCATTTTACAGATGAGGCTGATGAATAGAAAGTAATCATTAGCCCGAGGTCACATACCCTAGAGGTGACAGAGCTTGGATTCAAACCAAATACCAGATTTTGTTACTGTATTTTGAAAAACCGATAACTAGCAAAACACCCATGAGGTTAAACAAAACACCCATGAGGTTAAACAAACAGTACAAAAGGGAATACAAAAAACTGAGCTCCTCCTCCACCCTGACCTGGAACCGCCCTAGTCCCCTTTCCCCAAGACGACCCCGGTCAGGAGGCTCTTGTATATATTTGCAGGGCTATTCTGTGAATATGGTTCCTTTGGATGCAACAGATGTTGCTTGTTGTTTTAAATGAGTAAAAACAATAAATGATTAAATTTCTCATTCAGCTTATTTACGGGAGTCAAACTGCCTAAGGAGCCAATATTTTCATTTGAAGGAATGGAAATGCTAAACTAAAAAATAAGTTTGTCTTTCTCTTTTGAAAAGAAGCACATGAAAATCACTCATTCTGATGCTTCTTTTATCAACCATTGTTTTCTGGTAATCTGAAAAAGAGTGGACTCTAATTCATATCAGTTTTGAATTCATCATTGAGTTTGGCAAAGATTTACTGAGTGTTGATTTTGAACCAACCCCTCTGTTAGGTGCTATGGAGCAGAGATGAGAGAAACAGCCTCTTCTTGAGAGACATCGGTCCAGTGTGGTGGGGAAGGCCGAAGAACAAACCATCCCGAGCCCCAAAGACAAGGGCTATAGATGAAGGCTGCATGTAGGGAATGCCAGAGTTATGAGTTGTAGGAGAGGGCAACCAACCCAGGCTAAGGCCAGAGGGGAGGCTTCCTGGAGGAGGGGGCCTTTAATCTGTGTCTGGAAGAGCCAGTGAGGGTCAGCCAGGGGACAAGGAGAGAAGGGAATTCTAGGCAGGGGGAATGAAACAGGGTGCTGTCGGGGAAAAAAAAAAAACAAAACAAAACACCAGACACCAAATAGAAGCGAGGCAAGATTTTATTCCCGGCTGGGCCAAACCTGATCTCCTGATCTTAAGGAAAAAAAGTGCAGAGAATGGCCCCGAACAAAAGTAGCAGTGAGCTTATGTGGATTTTAGCAAGTCAGAGTACGTCATTATTTAGTTAACCAGTTACAATTTACAGCATTTCATGGTAGCCATTCATATTGTGACACAGAGACGTTAGTCTTGGCGGGAACCTATCAATTTAAAGTTCTTTGTCCTAAGAGGGTTTAAAATGACCAGAGTTAGACACCTAAGATACCGTGGGGAGTGAGTTCGTGACTTTTTACATTTTGGTCTTGCCTAGGCTAGATCTTGGTAGAAGGGGTGGGGGAGCGTTTTGCAACCTAAGTTATCTATTTAGCAAGCAGGCGAAGTTACAGAAGCGAGATAGGGCAGTTAGTAATTTCCCATAACCCTAATAGGGAACTACATAAGCTTTTTATCTCAATTATTCATGAAACGTGAGTTTAAGCTGAACTCATGTACAATAAGCTTTCTGATATCTTATAAGTTGACCTATTACAGGGAACAGGAAGGCAACAGCTTACAGGAAAAAAGGAACATGGCCAGTTTGGGTTTGGGGGCGAGCTTATTGCTAACAGCTAGGGTGGGTTGTGGGTGTCAGGAGATAAATCTGGAAAAACAGGCAGGGATGTCAAAGGAGGTCAGAAGGGAGGTGCATGCCTACTACAGTCGGCTTAGAGATGACAGGATGGAAAAGTCGCCTCCGCAGGACCTGGTGACCCGTTAGTTGTGCTGGAGGTGGGGAGCAGGAGGGATGCCAGAGCCATTCTTGGGGCTGGAAGGAACTCAGGAGGAGTCACAGGGTTGAAGTGGGGAAGGACAGCGCCCTGGAATTGTGTGCGATGAGTGTGAGGCACCTGCAGGACGGCCGGCAGAGGCGTCTGGGAGGCAACGCCTTTCCAGGTCTGGAGCTGGGGGGGGTGGGGGAGGGGGAGTGGGTGTGGGAGTCGTGAGGGAGGGGTGAGCAGACTGAAGAGCAGAGCCCTAGGAACGATGGCGTTTAAGGTGTGATGGACGGAGGGCCCGGGTCCGGCAGCCAGGGAGGTGGGGAGGTGACCAGGACCCCAAAGGAAGAGAGGAAGTGAGGAAGGCAGGAGAGGACAGTGGCCAAGAAGGACCAGGACAGGAAAATGTCTGGTTGGTTGGCAGCTAGGAGTCTGTGGCTTGGGGAGCGCGGCTCCTGTGGGTGGAAGGAGAGGGAGAGAGGACAGCGGGAAGCAATGGCCGCCGTGCAGGGGATGAGCCAGCAGCCAGAGTGGTGTAGGCCCAGGCTGAGGGCCTCTCTGGCTTCTTCGAATGATAAAATCGCATTTATTGACTGCTTACCGTGGTCAGGCACTGTTTAAGTGCCTTAAATGTGTCCTTTAATTAAACCTTTCAACCGTCCTCTGAGGGAGGTTCTATTGCTATTTCCATTTCACAGATAAGGAAACCGAGGAGCCGGAAGTTTAGGTAGCTTGCTCAAGTTCACACAGGTAGCAAGAACAAGTTCCCAGGAGGAGTGGGTACAGAGATTATAAGAGGCTCGAGAACTGTTGTTTTTACTGAAGGAAAACAACCAGTGGAAAGGAAAAGGTCAAAAACCTGTGAGAAGGAGGGAGGCCTGTTGATAGAGGAGCCCCCTTCTGAGGCCGAGGCCGGAGGCAGTGGGGTCTGGAGAGGATGAAGGGGGAGTGAGAGGTGGGGCATGAGGGGTAGGGGCTTGTGAGGAGGCTGGAGGGGCTGGAGGGAGCTGACCAGGGGGCCGGGAGGCCAGGTCTTCTGATAGAGAAGAGGGGCTGGAGGGCTATGGGTTTGTGTACTGCGGGACTCTTCTCACTGCCGAGCCAGAAAGAAAACCCCGGTCCTGTCTGGGATTCTATTTCTTGTTTCGACTTATTCGATGGGTGTACCTGCTACTTCTCGAGGCACCAAAGATGCCTTCAAGCGTCCTTTGGAGGATCACTTTGAATTCTGCTACTGCTTCTAGGCTTGCTCATGTCTTTCTAAGAATTAGGTTAGCAGCGTTCCACAAAACAAAACCAAGCCCTGTCTTCTCAAGGCCACGCGTATTGTTGAGGCGGCCGTGCATCACGTCATGGTTGCTCTGTGTGCTTTGCGTTTCACGTTCTCAGAGGTGGTAAAAGCACCAAGTATGTGGATTTATCGGGAAAACCATCTAACTTACGGGCTCTTCCCAGGCAGTAGTTTTGGCTGGACGAGTTTGAATTATGTAAGGATGGAACACATTTGTACAGACTGTGTGGAGGTTTAGTTCCAGAATCCACCCAGCATCTCATACGGCTCAACAGAGAATAGATATATAGATTTACATTTTAAAAATTGAGGTAAAATTAGTGTAATGTGATTTGCATTTTTAAAGGCACACACCTTGGTGCTAATCTAGAAGGTTGCCTTTGATGTGTCAAAATTTGGAAAGTAAAGAAACACTGAATTATTTTTAAGGAAATTAGATGGATCCTTACCCCCCAAAGTAGCAATTAGTTTTCATTTGCCTTTGTTTGGTTTCTCCCTAAATTCTGTAGGCTTTGGTTCATTGAAACATTTCATTTGTGCATTCATTCAGTCATTCATTCATTCTGTGCCATTTATTGAACACTGACAGTGTACCAATTTTGGGGGTAAGGACAGGGTTGACCAAGGCAGTCTCTGACCATTAAGTCCCAACCCAAGGCTCAATTGCTGGGTTTCTCTAGAAGACTCTGGGATCCGGGAAGATGCAATAAGGACTTTTTTCCCCCATGCATCTCCTAGGACAGTGCCTGCAAGAGTACTACTCTAGGCACAACTGGGACTTATTGAGTAGGTCTCCATAGTGGTCAATGAAGTGATGAGTGACCATTATGCCGGACTGCATAAGTAACCAAAGCCTAGTTCTGTCTAAGTAACCAAAGATTTCACCAGGAAATAAAAATGACAACTGTTACATCAAATTTAATTCTATTGCCTCTGAAAAAGGCTCAGAAATTATTATTCTGAAGGGTACGTTGCTTTCTGGGTATGTCACTTATTATTGTTTTTTTTTAAATTCCTTCTAGTTGCTTGTTGGGATTTTGGCCTTCATCAGTGGAGTGCTGTCACTAATGCTTCCAGAAACCATGGGAAGGCCTCTGGCAACGACTTGGGAGGAAGCTGCTAAACAGGATACAGAAAAAGATAGTTCAGGCAAATTATTTCCCACAACCAATAATACTGCATTGGAAAAAATAGAAGTGATTGACTCAGGGGTTTCTGGTCTTAGTGAATAAACGTGCCGTATGTGCCGTCTAGCACCTGAAATATTGTTTACTTTCATGACTTTGTATTCGAGGAATATTATTCTCATCTCCTGAATGTGATTTGTATGTGTCTTTTAAAAATTTTTTGTAAGAAAGTCTTAAAATGATAATTTTGTAAAAGTAAAAGAAATAAAACCAAGATGAGAATTCTCATTTTTTATGCCGCTTTATTGCCACAAAATATTTCTTCCTATTTGTTCTTATATGTCATTGATTCTCAACCTTCCCCCCTGTCCCCTGCTGAGGGAAGACCCACACTCTCTTCAGGACCAGGGTCCTTGGGAACTGTGGACTGGGAAAAACGGGCATGTGGGCATGGCAGCTTTTGACAAAGCCCTTTGAAGATTCTAGTTCTGATATTCCTTTCCCTCTTAGGAGAATCCTAGCTCTAAATGCAAGTTTTATTCAGAAATGCTCTGTCAAAAAATGTTTGTCTTCATAATTTAACCGTGAAAACCATAGCTGCAGAAGAAACGGATCTTGCTTTCCAGCACCCTCGGGACACAAGGCATGAGTTTTCTAGTCTGACATTCTTATCTCTCCTAAATTTGCCGAATGCCCTCCCTAAGTCTCCTTCAAGCTACAGAGAAACTGTGGCATTTTAGTGCACTGCAAAATTTTTGTTTGCAGATCATCCAGGAAATTGACTCTAAGTACCATTTGGATCTGTCACCAATGTAAAAAAAACAAACAAACAAAAACAAAAACATTAAGTATTCATTTTTGAGAGTTTTTTTTTTACAGGAAGATTTTACTTTTTTTTTTTTAAGTACTAAGTTTTGTTTCCTCAACTTTATCTAAAACCGTATTTTGCAAATATGTTCAGTTTATATTTTGCAAATATGTTCAGTTTAACATCTTGAACATTTCAACAGCAAAATTTGGGCATAATTTTACCTTTAGAAGAATACATTTCAGACAAGTTTGCTATAAGTTTTGGATTTTTTCTTTCTTATGGTTTCATCAGAAGCTCATTATTTTTTTCTTCTTTGCTCTTGAAATCGAGCTGTCAGATATGCTTTATTGGAATTGGTGAAGTACTGGGGCACCTGGGTGGCTCAGTCAATGAAGTGTCCAGCTCTTGATTTCAGCCCAGGTCATGATCTCACGGTTCATGACTTTGAAACCTGCATCCGGCTCTGTGTTGACAGTGCAGATCCTGCTTGGGATTCTCTCTCTTTCCCTCTCTCTCTCTCTGCCCCCTCCCCCCTGTTTTCTATAAAGAAGGCCGGCTTCCTCAAAGGAAAAAAAAAAAAGAATTTGGTGAAGTATTAGTGGCAGAGGCAAGTAAAAGGATTAAGACAACTTTATAGATACTGGTTTTTACAGCTAGCCAGGCTCTGGTACAATTAAGGTCGGTTGTTGTCCTGACTCAGCCCGCTCACATATCTAAAGTCCGAGTTCGAGCTCCCGCCTGGGTTTCTGGGCTGATGCCGAGTCTGGAGCCTGTTTCCGATTCTGTGGTTCCCCCCCTCTCCTCTCCCCCTCCCCCTGTTATTGCTCTGTCTCTCTCTGTCCCAAAAATAATTAAAAAAAAAAAAAAAAAAGTTGAAAGCAAAAGGGTATTGATTTCACAGGAGTCCTCCAGCCCCAAGCTTTTTTAACAATTAAATTAAATAATGAAAAGGAGATGACTGTGTATTTCATGGATAAAAAAATGAAACCCAGTGGGTGGCTCTGTCAGTGGGAGTCGGTAAAAGTCCCCGGACAGCCCTCGCCCGCACTCCGTACAACCGGAGTCGAGCGTTCTGTGTCAGTTCTGGGCTGATGGCTGAGCCTGGAGCCTGTTTCCTGCCTTCTGTGTCTCCCTCTCTGCCCCTCCCCATTCATGCTCTGTCTCTTTACCCTCCCAAAAAAAAAAAAAAAGCATTGCTAGGGGGAAAAGGATCAGTTGCCCATCTATTCAGGACTTTATATTACACTCAGTTCCTTACACTTCTCAGTTCTTCACTTGGCCTTTCCACTTGGAAAATAAAAAACCCCCCAAACCTCTCTCCCTTTGTAAGGAAAAACAAAATAATAGAAGGATATGAGAGGGAGATTTTCTTTCTCTTTTATCTCACCTCTTCTTGTGTCTCTTTTTTTCCTTTAACCTTAGCTTGTTTTACTTTTTTTTTTATTTTTTTAATGTTTATTTATTTTTGAGAGATGCAGAGTGTGAGTGGGGGAGGGGCAGAGAGAGAAGGAGACACAGAATCTGGAGCAGTCTCCAGGCGGTGTCAGCACAGGAGAGCCCACTGTGGGGGGTCGAACTCCAACGTGACATCATGACCTGAGCTGAAGTCGGACGCTTAACCAGCTGAGCCACACAAGGGCCCCATTGTTTTTCTACTGTTACTTAGGTTTTTCCCTCTTAGTTAATCTTTGGTGTTTTCTCGACTTTCTTTCTATGGTCTATATTAGTTTGCTAAGGCTGCCATAGCAGAATACAGACTGGGGGGCTTCCACAACAGAAATTTGTTTCTCACAGTTCTGGAGACTGGAAGTTCGGGATCAAGATGCCTGCAAGGTAGCTTTCATTTTAAGGCCTCTTCTCTTGGCTTGTGGGCAAGCCAGGGTCTCCCCATGTGCTCACATGACCTCTTCTTTGTGCCTATGCACAGAGAGAACGAGCGAGCGAGAGAGACAGAAAGAGAGCAAGCGAGCTCTCTGGTGTCTCAAAAGGGCACTAATCCCCTCAGGAGAGCCCCCACTGTTTTTACCTCCTCGAACCTCACCAACATTTGGTCTCTAATACCCATGTATGTGTCTCTGTGTTTATAAGTGTCCAGAAGCATTCTGTCCAAAACAGAAACCCTCTGAGCTATTTCAGGCATAGAATTTAATACAGGGAATAAGTTACCAAAGTGTGGGAAGGACTGATGGAACAAAATGGAAGAAGTCACCCAGGGACCGGGAAGCCAGTGCCCTCACTGGGCTAGAAGTCCCCATGCCTACACTCTCTGCTTCCACTGCTCATCCAGAAATCACATTTCTGTTGCTGACAAGAAACAAAGGAGCCCACACTCCCACTGATGCAATTGAAACTGCCTGGCATGGTATCAACGTGAGTTGAATTTTTAGATTAATTTAGAAAATTTACCTTGTTTCTGGTATTGACTCTTCTATCCATTATCATGGGTAATGTCTTCATTTAGTTGGGTTATTTTAATGTCTGTCAATGAAGTATAATTTTCTCCACAAATCATGCACATAGCTTGTTATACTTAGTCCCGGGGATATACATTTATTACTGGAAGTGCTGAGTTTCTAATATATTTTCTATTGCTTCTTGCTGGCATTAAGGGAGGTGGTTGGTTTTTGTATGTTGTTGTTATAGCCAACAACCTTGATAAAAAGTGGTTTTAAATCAGTGGGAGATGAAAACTTTATTGGGAGAAAAATTGAGCTTTTCATCATGACAATTAAAAATATTAGTCATACAGGAAGCCAAACATGCTTTGTTCCTCCAGCATTTCTTAACATGCACAGTCTTCTGATTTTATCCTTGCAAAATAGTGATATAGATCTTTAACAGTTGGACCCTTGTCATAGCACATCAGATGTGTCTCCACCTGTAAGTATTTCAAGGAGTACTTTACCATGGCGCCGGAAAGCTCAGAGAACAACCCGTACACAAGTAGGTGAACTTCAGGCAGATGACCTCGTTATCAGTTCTGTTTAACTGAGGTCTATGCATCGACCTGATGATGAAACACTGTATCTGTATCTATCACCCTGCACAGCTCTGATGCTGCACAACATTATTTCTCCCTGCTCCGTGTACCATTCCAACACTCGGTCAAGGAGAGTGTGGCAGGTGTCCTGTCCAGTCTTGGTCTTGGCCAGTGGGCATGTGGGGCCCATTCTGTCAATACTACAGCATGCTGTCACTGTCCTGAGTTGGTTGTGCCCTCCAACATATGTTGTTTCTCTCTTGAGGACCCTGCTATTCACATTGTTCTGGTGATTAGTCTTGGCCCATGATAGCTGCAGGGAAGTCCTCCCGTGAAGCAAGCCAACAAAGCATGAACTTCGGGTTCGAGTCCCACCCTTGCCCAGGCTCTTGTGAGAGGCCTTAATAATGGGCTTGTTGGTCATAAGTTTTTGTAAACTCTTGTAAATTTTGCAAAAGGAAGATATAGTCACTGCAATCAGTTAAGAACGCTGGCTCTTACCCCTCTATTTCCCTTCTGTCACATTTCGCCTCTGTCACATGATATCAAAGTGACCACAGGCACTTTTTCTGTTATGATCCTGTATATTTTTTTCTTAAAGGGGGCTTTGAAAACTGTACAAACTTCAGATCTCACAAAATCTGACCCTCTTCCCAACCGTTGTGTTGTTAGGGAAGTCCATATTGAACTTGAAAATATACTCTGAATGTATACCCTGAATGTATACCCTGAATGAGGGGCTTGATCAGTTCTGTTATTTTCTCTCACACCTGTCAAATATTTACTGACAACATGCTAAACACAAAGGGTTCATTCTATAATATGACACATCCAAGGGAGTACTTAATAAATTCTTGCAGATGGTGAAGAGGAATCTTTTCTTATTTAAGATCGTTTAAACTGACCAGGAAAGCCAAAGCCCATTGGTAGCTTTCCCCAACAGAGATGAATTATCTGAATTTGCCAGAAGTCTGTAACAGCTACTCACTCTATCTCTAAAGTCCACATTGCACCAGTATTTACTGACAACTGCTAGTTCCCTAAGTAAATTCATTTTTCTCATTTATTCCCTGTCTCTCCCTAGGCTCACCTACTTGGGTTATCTTTAATGTCTTTCTAATATCCATCAGGAGATTTTCATGGATGTTCCAATAAGTAAGTCTTGAAAGTCAGATTATTTTACAAAGAAGAAAGGGTTCCGTTACAGAGTTTGCCCTACTTCTATATCTCATAAAGTCAGGGCTAGCCTGTGTATCAGAGAGTTACGTCACCCTGAACTCACTCCTCCCCCATTTCCCTGCCCCAACCTGTGGCCTATATGACTGAATCCCTGGCCCCCACAAGCCTCGCTTCTTTAACAGCCTTCAAAAAGATTCAAGTTCTGTTGGTGTGAAGCTCTCCATTTACTGGCAGACTAACATACCAGCAAGGCCAGCACATCATAAGCCATTGACACCCATGGAAGCAGAGCAGGAGGGGCTGGGTGGCCAGGGAGGCCTCCAACATGCTGCATAAGGGCGACTCTGTGGACCTCCAGAGCCCACAGTAAAATGTCTCCAAAAAATTGTTGAGGAGGAATGTGATGCTGAGCTCACCTGCATTCTCAGGGGGATCACTTCAACTTTTTGGCCCTCAGCCACTTGCCTGTAAAATGATAACACAAGACCCCCCTAGATGGTCCCCACTGCCCCTTTTCAACTCCCACCCTCAGTGATGCCTAAATCAGTTTTCCAAATGACCCCTTTTTTGAGTCACATTGCTACAAGTCTGTAAAGCAAACACTAAAAGACCTATTAGCTGTTGACGCATGTAGCTTGCGTTCTTGGTTTCGTTTCTGAATGTTTCCTCTTCTTGCTTTCATAGGAAAGTAGAGTCCTGACCCAGGTGGGGAGAAGGAGCCCTCTCAGGTATCTTCCATGGTTCCCATTACTTTTCAAACGCTGTCCTTCATCCTGGCCAGATTCCACACTCCGCTCTCACCCAAACCTCCCCATGGAGCCACACCTTGTTTCTTCAGCATTCTTGAAGCTTCCTGCCTCTGTGGCTTTACTCACACTCTCCTCCCTCCCAATATGTCTCTCCCTCCTCCTCCTTGTCCATCCACATCCCACTGATTCTTTGGAACCTTCCTCATTTCCCATCCTCTCTCCTGGACTGGCTACGTGGGTCCACCAAGCTCCCTTCTCTCTGAACCCCCACAACACCTACACTTGGTGCTACATATTAGAGCACCGTCTATTCTGCCTTCTTTCCTTTCTTGAGGGAGAAAACATCATTCCAGAAATCCTTAAATCTCTGATAGTCCCGGCAGCATGCTTTGGACAGGGCAGGTGCTCCATAAATGTTGGATGATTTTATAGTAGGTGCTCAATAAAATATATATATACCACCTCACAGATAGTTTTGCATATTTCAACTCAGCAGATGCTCACCACAACTTGTAAGAGAAATTAGTTCACCCCTGATTTTCAAAAGGGGAAACTGAAAACTCAGAAGTTAAGTGACTTACTCAAGGTAAAACAGACAGGTCTCTTGATGCCATAGTGTGTGCTTTGGTTAAGACCTTGAGCCTTGGAGTCTGACACTCAGACTGGGCTTTGCTGCTTAGGAGACCTTGGACTCTTCCTTATTCTCTTGGAGACTCAATTTACCTATCTAAAGAAGGGGGATAATAATAGTACCTCACCACTTCAGAGGGTGGTTGTGTTATATGGTGTCATATATGCATGTAGCACATGGTTAATGCTAACTACATATTAGTTACAATATTATTTATTATTTTGATTCATCAGACTGCTTCCCCATCGACAACTTGTTGACCACACGGTGGACAATCAGCAAATATTTGAATATGCTGGTTAAAGAATCATTTGGTTTTTATCCTCAATTGTCTCCTGAATAATTTTCCCAACTGCAATCAGGTCATCTTCTTAGTGATCAACAACATTATTCTGCCCTCACGCAACCCCCATTCCTCCCCCCACCTGCTGACCCAGAAGAGCCAAATGAGGAAACCAGTGTTGCTTCTGGACAGAACTTGTTGGAAATTGGAGGAATTCAACTGTTATTTCCTGTGCCTGTAAATCAGCTGGAGAAATCCCAGACTGTTGGCAAGACGGAGGGTTTGTAAACTAGGAAGAGAAGAGCTGCTGAGGGTGTACCGGCTCCCAGGGGCTCGGCAGAGCCACAGCTCCACGCGGCTCCACGAAGCTTACAAAACGAAGTTAATCCCTCCTTTCTCCAGGGAAATAAGTTCCAGAGACACGGGGGTATGGACCAATGGAGAGTGAGTTTAGAGAGAATGTCCTTAATAAATTCCCCAATGGGAAGCAGTTTTACTTTCCCTCTGTCTCTCAGGGCACTAGACCAACCACTCACTGGGAAAACAAGTGTTGGTGCCAGAGCCTTCTGTGGGTTCCAAGACTGCTTTTCCAGACTCAGGTACTTGAATCCTCGTGCTTGCAGCTCAGGGGTCATTCTGTGCGTACTCTGGGAGTTTGGGACTGTCTTAATGGGGTCAGGTGACAGTGATTCATAGGTCATTGGGCTAGGATGTACCCACCTTGCTGGCTCACTTTTCTCCTCCCTGGCAGCTGGTTATTCTCAGCCACAGATTACTTTCCCCTCTCAATTTATTACAGCTATTTTGAGAAAGTTGGTAGGCAGGGGAGCCTGTGAAGTAGGAAAGCCACCAAGGGACAGGTGAGTGCCTCCTACCTCCAGGGGACGTGTGTGGGACTATGCTCTTCCAGCTTGCCCCCCTCCACTGGTCTCCTCCTTGCCTTCTCAGTTAGCCAGCCCACTGGGGAGCAAGCAAATTAATGGCCAAAGAAATGCACAGATTGCTTGAGAAATAAAAATAACACACATTAAACCTCATTGGAATGACTTTAAATTATCCTAGAGCCAGAGACCTTCAGAGCTGGAAGCCGAGCCCCGCCATGTTTGCCCTGCTCACAGCAGAAATGCCCCACCCGCTCCAGGGGAGGGCTGAATTTTATGGGCAGGTGGCCATGATCTGAACCACAGGCTATTGGTTGCCCTGTGCCAAGATGCCCCGTCTATTGCTGATTGGATGGGAAAGGACAACTGTGCCAAGAGCGCGTTTACAGGCTGGCTTAGCCCAATGAGCTGATCTGGTGCTAGAACTTTGGTAAGGATGATTATGACCAACTGGAATAATTGCATTTTTTTTCTCTCTCTGGAGACCTGAGACCTACAGAGAGCCTTGGAGAGTGGGAACAGAAATGGAAAGACAAGCAGGAAAGCAACAGGGGTCGGGAAAGCTGACAGCAGAGCAAGGCTCGGTGGGCTCCCACTGCTCACCGGTGAGGAGGAGAGAGGGTGTTGGGCCCTCACCAACCCCCTAGTTCCCATGCTGGGTGCCAGTCTCAGGCTTCTGGATATCTGCCTCCTGCATTTCCATTCCAACCCTCAGAAGGAGCCACCTTTGTGAGACAACCTGAGTGGGTCCTTCTTATTTCCAACCCAAACGAGTTAATAAAGAATTCACATGGCCTGCTTCACACATGAGGGAATTGAGGCTAGGAGCCCCTGGGTTGCCCCCCAGTTTACAGAATCAGCACCTGAGTCTGCGAAGGAATCCAGTTTCCTTATTTGGGAAGTCTGCTTTCAGAGGGTGGGTTTCAGGCACAGGAGTGGAGGGGCGAGGGGTAGGGCATGGGGTGGGGGCACGGAGTGGGGAAAACTGACAGAGTCAAGGAAGGGGAGAGGAGGGTTGGTTTCCAGTTAGAGTGGGGGGCAGGAGAGGGGACGTGGGGTTCAGTCATTCAAACTTTTTGTCTTGTTGTTATAACTAAAATCCAGTTTGTAAATGGTAAGAGCTGAGTTCTGAATTTGCCCATGGGTCAGGTTTCTCAGCGGCTGTTCCTCAGGAAGCTTCTGGGAGCAGAGATGGCATCTCTTCTGTTCTTGTCTGCCTTCCTAGGCTGTGCCCAAAGGAAAAGTGGTTTAGGAAGGGGCTGGAGTGAGTAGCAATTTCCCCCCAAACCAAACCTATTTACCTGCCGTGTGCTCTAAAGGCAACTCCAGGCTGGTTTTGGGCTAATGTCTAACACTCCATCGAGACCTTGTTGCCCATAGCCCAACATTTAGCGGAAACAGGGCTTATGGGGAGTTCTCTTGGTCCCATGAGAAATGCTGACAGGAAAGGCGTTATTTTGAGAGGCGGCGGACCTAGGAAGAGAATCCTCAGGGCCGGACTTTGTACCGGATGCAATGACCCTTAAACAAGGTTTATAGCTCACACTTTTTCTCCTCACAGGTCCATGGACCCGGTACGGATCGCGGTTGTGGGGGCAGGCGTGGTGGGGCTCTCTACTGCCATGTGCGTTTCCAAACTGGTGCCCCGATGCTCCATTACTGTCATTTCGGACAAGTTCAGTCCTGATACCACAAGTGACGTGGCAGCCGGAATGCTTATACCTCATGTTTATCCAAGTAAGAGGGATTTTAGCTCCTCTGTCAGATATGATTCCTCAGTCAGAATTCTGTTGACAGAGACAGTTGGATATGCATGTAACTTAATGTTCACTTTTTAGAAAAAAAAAATCTTTTTAAATGTTTATTTATTTTTGAGAGAGACAGAGCACTAACGGGGGAGGGGCAGAGACAGCCAGAGACACAGGATCCAAAGCAGGCTCCAAGCTGTCAGCACAGAGCCCGACATGGGGCTCGAACTCACAAACCGTGAGATCAGGACCTGAGCCAGACGCTTAACCAACTGAGCCACCCAGGCGTCCCCTTAGTGTTCACTTTTAACATCGTACTGGTTCATCTGTTAGGAAATGCTCAATTATGCTGTAAGGCAAACACAACCTCCAAATCCTAGCAGCCTAAAAAGCAAAGGTTCGATTCTTGCTGGGACCGCATGTCAACTGAGCATCAGCAAGGGCTCTGCTCATCATACGTGATGGGACAGCCACTGTCTTGGATGTCATCAGTACCTGTGCCTGAGGGGAAAGCAGCTCTGGGGAGGTCTCACCTCAGCTGGCTCTGGCCAGGATGTAACTTTCATTACTTCTGATGGCCGGTCATTGGCCAGCACGAGTCACATGCTCCCACCCCTCAGAAGGTGGCCAAGAAGTGCAATCCTATAAGGCTCCCAGAAGGCAGACAGTCAGAAGGATTTGGTGAACCGCTCTCATGACTACCATAACTGGTAACTCTAAGTCTTTCCACTGATACCAGTAATGACCACAAGGTCAGAAATTACTTGTAACGGGACTAAAATTATCCACACTTCTCAGCTGGTAGACAAACAATCAGTCAGTATGTATTTGGGCCTAAAGATGCATTGATTTTTTTTTTAATGTTTATTTAATTTTGGGATGGAGAGAGAGAGCGCGCAAGCGGGAGGGCCAGAGAGGGGGACAGAGGATCTGCAGCGGGCTCTGTGAGCTGGATGCAAGGCTCCAACTCACGAAGCACGAGATCATGACCTGAGGCAAAGTGGGATGCTCAACCTACTGAGCCACCCACATGCCCCTGCATTTAGTTTTTAAAACATGGTCACACATCCTTTCCAGCTGTATTCTTCTCTTGAAATAGAATAGAATAGAATAGAGGAGGGAAACAGCATTAAATAAAAACCCAAATCACTTTGCAGCCAATGAGGTTTATACTCACTGTCTCCACTTCCTCATTCCCATGCTTTTATTCTCCTTTAATTTTAGTTTTTTTTTTTTTTTTTTTTTTTTTTTTTTTTCATCAAAGTTACACATGCACAGGATTAAGCACAGGAACCTGGCGTGTTTGCAGAATGCTAGTTCACACTTCCTGGGCACCTTTCTTGTGACCAGAGTTCTTTTGTCCGTTGTCCAGGAACCCCTTTGCTTGCATCAGGCCTGGGTGAGTGGTCAGAAGGCTGCATGATAGTCATGGAATCGTCTGCAAAGAAGGAGGCTCGTCTAAGAGTTCCTCCAGGCCATTGAGGCCCGAGCTCACCCTTCGGCTAGGTGGTTGGGGCCCCTGGATCAGAGAGTGTTACTCGCTGGTGCTTCCAGATAAGGACTTTAGTCTTCTCTTTGGGCTTGTTTCAGACCAGCCTCAGTGATAACAGTGGTATCTTCTGTGCTCATAAATATCAGTACCATATGGGGACCATACCTATCCGATAGGGTTGCTGCGACGATTAAATATATTTATACATGTAAAGCATTTAGCACAGTGCCTGGGACATAGTAAGTGCTGTATCAGCAATTGCTATTATTACCGCTACTCCAGCTACAGCTTTCTTTTACCAGCACTTGAACATGGATTAGATCACCAGGTTTGCTGGCTCTATCCACTGCTGAATTGGAACTGTCCATTCTTTTGGGATGACTCCTACAGCATGTGAGTCGCAGCCAATATTTTGTTTCTAAAGTCTGAAATGGCAACAAGGGGATGCGTTTCAATACAGCCCCATACACTGGCTTAGATTGTTGGGGTATAATCCAATGTGAGGTCTAATTTAGCTCATTTTGCAGTCATTATTTCTTCCTTATTTCTAAACCAGTGGCCCAGTCTTCAATTTTGGAATACAGTGTTGAGTTCACGTGGGCACGTGTTTAAAGATGACAGCACAGATCCACTATTAAAGAAATATTTATTGGCACTTTAACAAGTGAATTGTTACAAAACCCTGCTATTGAAATGCCCTCATTGACTTGGGCACTTGGTCTGGGGGAGCAGGATGTCTCCAGGGGCCTTTTCATCTCTACTGTGAACTCTAGGGACATCTCTCCAAGCAGAGCTTACCCAGTGTCCTCTCTGCCTCAGTTCCTTCACCTCCTCTCTGGCTCCCCCCATAGCAGCCCCTTGGGATTTTCATTCCCCAGTCCCTCGCTTGACCCTAGATTCTCCCTCATGACCCTTCCATAGGGATTGGATGGCCAAATTCTTCACCCCATTTGGATTTGTCTGCCTGTCCAGATTATGCTTGTTTTCTGTGCCTACACTGGACACTATTATTTTGGGGCTTGAACCATGACCCTTCTTTCAACCCTGACCCTTATTTCCTCTCCGATAAGTCTGCACCCTTCCAGAAGCTGGATGTGGGTCCAGCCTCTTGTGCTCTGGCAGGGATGCCTGGGTGACAGGAGCACTGATCCACAGGACTCTGCCAGAAAGGTGGTGCCTCGTGTGGTCCCTGCATGTTCTAGTGACCCGGGGAATGCTACTCTATGCTATTGCATGGTTCCACAGAGTGGAAGGGGATGGACATAATGGCAGCCTTGAATGGGACTGCAGGGAGTCCTTCCTGAGGAGCTCGGCTCCACAATGCAGACCTTGTCTCCTTGTATCAGAGGGTGAGCAATCTGGGCTTTCTCTTGATGTTCAGTTATTCTCTGTTCTGGTTGACCTGGGCCCCACAGATCTTCCCTTATCACCCACCATGTTTTCAGGACCCATGAGAGAAGTTCTGGGTTCTTTCTCCTATCATCTCAACTGTGTGGCCAGCTGGATACCTCAGCCATGAATTCACTTCTGCTCAGATTGGTTATGAACCTGTCAAGGTCTGGAATATATCTAATGCCAAAGACTACCTTCCAGATGGCTCATATGTCAGATTTTGTCCTGATCGGCCATTTTACCCTCTGATGATTAATCTTTACCTGAACAGGAGTCAACAGCATGTGTCAGCATTCAAAACTCGGGTTGCTGATAGATTCTCCACTATAATGTGGTACCTTATCTAAATGTTCCTCTCTGCCTCTTTATTTTCTCCCGGCTTCTGGGAAGGAGATTGTCTGAAGCATAGTTATCATCACCACTTCCTTTCTGTTCTGCTTTGTCCTCCCCCCCCCCCCCCCCCCCCATTACAGACACACCCATTCCCACGCTGAAGCAGTGGTTTCGAGAGACCTTTGATCACCTGTTTGCAATCGCCAATTCTGCAGAAGCTAAAGATGCTGGTGTTCATCTGGTATCTGGGTAAGAGAGGATATCTGAAGTTATTTTAGAATTCAGAATGATCTTAACAGACTTTAAAATTCAACATAAGATTGGGGCGCCTGGGTGGCTCAGTCGGTTAAGTGGCTGACTTTGGCTCAGGTCGTGATCTCGCGGTCTGTGAGTTCGAGCCCCGTGTCGGGCTCCGTGCTGACTGCTCAGAGCCTGGAGCCTGTTTCAGATTCTGTGTCTCCCTCTCTCTCTGACCCTCCCCCGTTCATGCTCTGTCTCTCTCTGTCTCAAAAATAAATAAACGTTTAAAAAAAATTCAACATAAAATATTGTTGGGTACTGCTGTGAGCAGAGTGCTGAATTCAATGCAGGAGGATTTTGGAAAACATTTTCAGCTTTACTCCAAAGAACTCAAGAAAGACAAGTTATTAGTATAGTGATTGTATATTACATATCAGTATATATAGCATTCGACTTTTAAACAACCATCACAGTTTCTCATCACCAATACTAGTGTGAGTTTCCTCAAAGATTTTGCAGTGATTTGCAAATACAGCTAAAAAAAACATGCAGCAGGTAAACACTGAGCATGGGGATGAGGTGGCTGATGGAAAGCCAACAGGTGTGATATTGAAGAATGAGACATCCCCGAAAAGTAAATGTTGTAGGTCACTAAAGTGACCTTTGAGGTGCCATTTAGGAACTATATTTCTGAAATGGTTAAGGCACTTCTATTTGATTCTTAATATGTGATTTCAGGGGACATGCATAATTAAATGAAAGAGTTAAAAAATCCTATTTGACATTTCTGGCACAAACCAGCACTTAGAATATGACAATATCTTTCTTTATCTTCTTTTCAAAAATATTTATTTTTGAGAGAGAAAGAGCATAAACGGGGGAGTGGCAGAGAGAGAGGGAGAGAGAGAACCTCAAGCAGGCTCTGTGCTGTCAGTGCAGAGCCCAAGGCAGGGCTTGATCTCACGAACCATGAAATCATGACCTGAGCCGAAATCAAGAGTTGGACGCTTAACAACCCAGGTGCCCCTCTTTCTTTATCTTCTTAAAAAAAGATTATTAACCCTTCTATCACTTTTAGTTTATGACATAACACGTATGTCATCTGTGTTACCCCATGTGCTAACACAGTAATGCCCTATACCTTTCTGAAGAGCAGAGGGTGTTTGCCTTTTACTAAGTTCTCACAACCACTGCACCCTTTGTACTGTATAAAAAAAACCTGTCCTCTCTCCTCCTTTGTGATCAGGCTGTCTGCTTACATTTCTGGTAGGAAACACACCTGCAGCAGGCAGGTTTCTATCCTTTTCCTCTTCTTGCCCTCCCTCACCGTCATTAATGGTGTTGACATCACTAATTTCCCCCAGTCTATACCCAAAGTAGCAACTTTTACTTCTCCATCTTCTGAGGATGAATTGATACTATAACTGTCCCCAGATCCAGCCAATGAGTCACAGAGAAAAATTGTCCTTATTGATTTATGGCCACACTTCATTTTTGCTCAAAACCAATTAACTCACAAACGTTGTCTCTAAGTAATTTTTGAAGGCAGATGTGTCTAAAATTCAAATGTCCTTTCAAGACTAAGATTTTGCCACCATTAAGGATATGAAAAAGAATATACTTTAAGCTAGCCTAAAAGAGAGTTATTTATTGCACTCACATGAATGATTTTTCTCCCATTTGCTTCCAAAAAGACAATTTGAATCAGTCAAATGAAGACAAGGGCCTGTACCTCTTTGGCATAAGTGCATAGCCTTATTCATCTGTTCATCTATACATTTCTTCAAAACAATTTATTCAGCATTCACCTGTATCAGGTACTCTCTTAGATATTGGTGATATAGTAATAAGCAATTTAGCACATACTGTTTGGCATATGGTAAATGCTTAATAAATATATGCTTAGTGAATTTTTAAGAAAAGAAGACACGGACCTGTTCTCATATAGCTTATGGTCTGTAAGGAATGTCCTAAACGTAACTAGCTGCAAAAGACACAAGTTCCCAAGGGAAGCGTACAGGGTACTATGGAAGAATATGTTTGGAGAATAAACTTGCTCGGAGGAGTTATGAGAAGCAACCTGGAGCAAAGTGACATTTCAGCAGAGACCATCCGGATAAGTGTAGGTTAACGTGGTGACATTATAGAAGTGAAGGGGACAGAGACAGGGCCGGGGACACAGGAGGCAAACCATTCCAGGTAGAGAGAGCAGCATAGGCATAGACGTGAGTCGAGGGCGACTGTGGTGTGTTGGAGATACTGGAGGTCATCCAGATTGATGGGAAGCCATTGAGGGATTTTACACATTGAAGTAACTGATCATGTTTACATGTCAAAAATATGCCTATAGTGGGGAGAACAGATATGTGGAGAGAGAGATGGTGGTGCAATAGATTAGGTGTTGGCAGTGGGGACAGAGAGGAGACGGACTTGAGAGAAGCCTGAGAGGAAAGCTGATAGGGCTTGAGACTTGGTGGTTGATGGCATGTGGGCTTGTGGGGAGAGAGAAAGTCACTGTAGGTCTGGGTCTGGTTCGGGAGCTCAGGAGAGAGAGAGGAGGGCTGGAGGTGGAGCCCCCTGTTTGGTCTATAGGTGATGGTGAAGATATGGAAGGGGAAATCTAGCCCAGGGAGAGTGTACGGAATGAGACAGTGAGGAGGCCCGCATGGAGCCCCACAGCAAACATTTATACTTTCGCCGGGGACTGCTTTGAATGAATTACTTAGAGGTATATGAATTCTGGTGTGTTAATGACCACATCATTAGCAACCACATACAGCATTCAGGTGATTTTCCTTGCTCTTTTAGAGCAGCCATGATTTATAACACTTACTCCGATTGATGAAAACAACCCAATACTTACAAATCCAAACATATGCCCAGCAGCTATCGGCAGCACTGTTCGGACTTGTTAACAACCAATATCATTCCAGCCTCACCCATTCCAGCCATGCTCTTAGCCTAACAGTAATGGGGTTCCTCCTGACAACCCAGTTTTTCTTACCAACAGTGTGAGGTGATGACCCACATCTTAACCGAAAATTCACACTTAACTCATAATTCGCAACTTAACTCATAATTCACACTTCCGCCTCCTGTACACCCACCATTGCTCACTGTAATTTAGATGTTTTGTTCGGAATTGAGGCCAACCTTTAAACTTTTGACGGATGCTTACAATTTATGTAAAATGTTATACGAAACACAAAAACCTTTTGTCAAAAATGCATAGTCATGAGTAAATAAAGAAAATCTGAGCAACAGATTTTTAGGAAAAAAAAGAATTAAATTAAATTTTTAAAACACAACTTTTTAAATGTCTTATTCTCCCCAATCGTGACTATTTTATTTATTTTTTATATTTTTTTAATGTTTATTTATTTTTGGCAGAGAGAGAGAGACAGAGCATGAGTGGGGGAGGGGCAGAGAGCGAGGGAGACACAGAATCCAAAGCAGGCTCCAGGCTCTGAGCTGTCAGTACAGAGCCCGATGCGGGGCTCGAACTCACAGACTTCGAGATCGTGACCTGAGCCAAAGTCGGACGCCCAACTGACTGAGCCACCCAGGTGCCCCACCAATCATGAATATTTTAAAGTGTTCACTTATTTATTTTTGAGAGAGAGAGGGAGTGCATGAGTGTGGGAAGGGCAGAGAGAGAATCCCAAGCAGGCTCTGTGCTGTCAGTGTAGAGCCCGACGCGGGGCTCAAACTCACAACCAGTGAGATCATGACCTGAGCTGAAAGCAAGAGTCGGACGCTGAGCCGCCCAGACCCCCCTTGAATATTTTAAATTTAGCTGCTGAATTATCTGAACCCAAGGGAATGGAAGAAGAGATCTTTTTCTTTCTTTCTTTCTTTTTTTTAACGTTTATTTATTTTTGAGACAGAGAGAGACAGAGCATGAATGGGGGAGGGTCAGAGAGAGGGAGACACAGTATCCGAAACAGGCTCCAGGCTCTGAGCAGTCAGCGCAGAGCCTGACGCGGGGCTTGAACTCACGGACCACGAGATCATGACCTGAGCCGAAGTCGGACGCTTAACCGACTGAGCCACCCAGGCGCCCGGATCTTTTTCTTTTTATGGGTATAGGAAGTGTGTTTTAAAAATGCTTTAGAGAATGTCTTATGGGGTTCACCGGAAATGTGTTATTTCACAAAATTTCAGGAAATTTTTCCATTTATGTATTTGAGTTGGCAGATATTTCAGAGCATTCCTGCTGAAGAAGTGCCATTCTGGGCTGATGTGGTTCTGGGGTTTCGAAAGATGACCAAGGCTGAACTGAAGAAATTCCCCCAGCATGTGTTTGGTCATGCCTTCACGACTCTGAAATGTGAAAACCCTGCCTACCTTCCATGGTTGGAGAAGAGGTCAGTTGAAATGGCTCTTTGCTGCTTCCTTTATCCTTCATAGCATAGCCATAAATAATTGCATAGCTACTCACAAAATATAGATGGAAAATTCCCTGTGGTTCCTCAGAGCTCTTTTGCATTGTGTCTTGTTGCTCACAACGGCTAGGGTTTTGTCAAACAATCTGAAGACAGTGCTGTGTCCAAAGGAGTAAGTCATACCACACTGGTAGTAACACACCCATCTTCTTCTTCTAGTGCGTGATGCGTGATTCTTCTTCGTCATGCATGATTTGGTTCCCTGCCCACCAGTAAAACCCACTTTATTGAAACAGTGTCTTAGTTTCCTCATTTGTAAACTGGAGAAGTTTGGGGAGTATGCTTCCAGCTATAAAATTATATGATTTGCTCCAGTTCTTTGGATGGAGAATCTTAAGCTTATTGTAAATTGTTTTTTGAATTTTTTTTCTCATTGGTGATTAAGAAAATGGCCTTGTTATTTTCTTTGTTATAAATAAGATCTCTAAACCTGAGAGGTCTTAGCTTATCTAAATCAGGTAATTGCTTCCTCACCAAGTCCAGTCCAAAATACCTTGAACTTGTATTTTGGCTTGGTTTTCAGGACTTTCTGATTCCAGTTAGTTAGGAAATGCATCAAGAGCATCTTTATTTGAGATATATCAATAAATCTCTCTTTAGTTTAGTCTGGAAATTGTAAGCATATTGAGGGTTGTAAAACATTGGCCCTTTCAGTCCCCAAATGTGTGTATTTGGTAGATAAATAGGGGCAATGTGAACTATTGTGTAAACATTGGAAGAGTGACTTGAGGCAAGCAGTGGCCATGATGATTGGTCCCAGATGTGGGCTGTAAGGCAATTGATTCAGACAATTCATTAATCCCACAATTTTGTGTTGAACACCTACGTCTGAACTTGGCACTGTGTTAGAAGCTGGTCAAAAAAGGATAAAAATATGATCCCTTTTCTTAAGGAATTCACAGTCTAATGGCGGTCATGGGGTGTATGTATGCGTATGTGTGTGTATGCATGTGTTTGTTTATATACGTTAATTAACAATCACAGTAACACACATGGTATGGGGTTGTACCAATTTTGAGGGTGGATTGGGAGCACAGAGAAGGGAGGCTGCATCTATTAGGCACATGTCAGGAGCATCATGATACATTTTTGTAGCCTTATGAGTGCTCTTCTCATTTTTATCTATTAGCAACTTATATGGGACATTCTCCTTTTGTAAGTTTCAGTTTTCATAAAACCCACACTCTTAAGCTTTGTTCACTGGGCCCTAAAGCACAGTTGCGGGTCAACCTCGAACCTAGACATCAGCCGATACTCGAGCATTTTGAGCTATCACGTGATGAAGTTGCCCATCAGTCAACATTCAAGTTTCAGCAGCAACACGGTCTTTCCCTCAGTGGCAATAACGTGTAGTTTTCACTTTTGTCCTTATAGTATAAAAACGACTGGAAATAGGAAATTGGAAGTGTTAATGCTAGTGATTTAAGATAAAGGTATCATGTACTTTATCTTAATTAAATTCAGATAAGGGGAATTATTAGGCTGCCATAAGGGGCAGCGCTTTACTCTCATTATGGTACATAATTCTGTTTGATTACAATAAAAAATGGAAGAACATGTACAAAATATTGGGTATAAAAAGGTGTCATTACAGAGTTTTATAATTTGAGGCTAAAGTTTCATTATTACTCCCAAGTCTATTGTTTGGCTCCCTCATCTTGGACTTTTTTCTCCATGTTCAGGAAGGTCTATAGAAAACCTGGATGGATCCCTGTGGTCTTTGGAAGATCAGACAGAATCAGGGAAGGGAGGATCCTGCAGAGTGTTCCCCATCACAGAGACTATCAAGGGATTCCCCTTGGCTTCCCTGTGTGGAAATGGCTGGGGATCAGGCATGATGATGGACATAGAGACAAGGAAAGTGGATGAATGAGCTCTTATAATGCTTTATGCAGGGGCCTAACATTTTCTTTATCATTTTCTCTCTCTCTGTCTCATATATATGTATATACATATGTGTGTGTGTGTGTATGTATTCCCCCCCCCAGAACGATTTAAGAGTAAATTGCAGACATGATGCCCCATGATTTCTAAATATTACCATGTGTATTTTCTAGGAACAAGGATGCTCTTTTACGTAAATAGAGAGGTATGATAAAAATCTAGATATTTATACTGATACTGTAGTCTATGGATCTTATTCATATGTTGCCCAAAAAGGACCCAATTAGGTCCTTTATATAGATATATCTGGTCCATGATCCAATTCGTAGTCACACATCACATTGGTTGTCATGTCTCCAGTCTGTAGTCTGTCTTTGTCTCTTACGACCTTTACAGCTTTGAAGAGTACAGACCAATTGCTCTGGAGAATGTCTCTCAGTTGGGGTTTGTCTGACGTTTCCTCATGATCAAATTGAGGTTACACATTCCGGTGGAACCCCGTAGAAGGAACGTTGAATCCTTAGTGCGTCGTAGTAGGAGACACGTGGTGTTGGTTTGTCCCCTTCCAGTGATGTTAACTTTGATCACCCAACCTGCCAGTTATCTCCAATGTGAAGTTACAACTTTTTCCTTTGTAATTACTAAATGCTTTGTCAAAATACACCTTGAGGGGCGCCTGGGTGGCGCAGTCGGTTAAGCGTCCGACTTCAGCCAGGTCACGATCTCGCGCTCCGTGAGTTCGAGCCCCGCGTCGGGCTCTGGGCTGATGGCTCAGAGCCTGGAGCCTGTTTCCGATTCTGTGTCTCCCTCTCTCTCTGCCCCTCCCCCGTTCATGCTCTGTCTCTCTCTGTCCCAAAAATAAATAATCGTTGAAAAAAAAAAATTAAAAAAAAAAAAAAGATACACCTTGAGGCTGTGTAAATATTCTGCTCCTACTAGTTTTAGCATACATTCATGATTCTTGCCTCAATCATTACTATAATATTTGCCAAGTGATAATTTCTTTAAAAATTTTTTCTTAACATAATTTTTTTTGAGAGAATGAGAGAGAGAGAGAGAGTGAGCAGGGGAGGGGCAGAGGGATGGGTTCGCAGCTCATGGGCTGGAAGTGAAGGAGGAGGACTCTGGCGGGGTGCTCCCCGTGGCCCCACATACTCATTTCTCATGCACAGCCGGAGAAGGGCCAGAGTGGGGTCCTCTAAGTGGCCCAGTGGAAGGAACGTACAGCTCAGATTAGCCAGGATCATTTTTAAGTCCTAGAAATAGTCTTGAGCTTACAGTAATCATATGCATATGTTTGCGTGTACATGTGTGTGTGCATGTAGTTTCTCTTGTTTTTTCAAAGAAGCATTGGCTATAAAGTCTAGACAGAAAACTGAAACAGAAATTCTTCCTGGAAGAGAGCATACATTGCTTTCATGAGTAGTAGATAAGGTTCTTGGAAGATGGGGAGTTATGATGGGGCAGAGAGGGAGCCTGAGGGCCCAGGGCACCTGAATAGGTGGTATTGCTGTAGGAGGGGGCAGAGGCAGGGAAGCCAGCATCACCCCCAGTGTACGTGTTCCTTCTCTGAGGGGTCTTCGTAAGTCTTGCAGTTTGCCTGGGGCTGCCCTGAGCAGTGGGAAGCCTCCCCCTGGGTCGGGGAGGGGCATCCCCAGGAAGACTGTGAGGGCCAGTCCCCAGCATGGCCACCATCCCAGCCGCCCTCCCACTCTGGCTGAGAATAAATGTGTTAGCTCTGCAGGCCACCCTCAACCACTTTCACAGGAAAACAAATATTATCTGAACGATTTGTTCTGCCTGTTTCTAAAGTTATCACCTGGAAAACAGGCCCCGTTTCCATAATAATGTTATTTTCAGGCCTAATCTCTAACTGTGGGATGAAGACCTGGGAAAAATCCTGCTACCTTCTCATTAGTCGGAAGCCTGGTGTCAGCATTTTACTCTACTTAAAATAACCCCGAGTCAGTGGTACTTTGTGCCAGTGGGAGCCACCTCCTGACAGCAATGCCATTGGCCTGATGACCAGTCAGCTGGGGTTCGTGTCTTGGAGCACGTTGCTTCCTGTCTGTTTTTAGGTGACAGTCAGGGAGAAGAGGCCTGAGGGGCTGCTCTTGTCCTGGGGAGGTCTTTTTCAGTCCATTTCTTGGATATACACATCCACCATGACAGTGGACTGGGACGTGAGTGCCTCAGACAGACTGTATACACGCCTTTGTCCCACCAACCCTCCCGTCCCAGCTTCTGTGCCCCTGAACCTTCCTCTTCCTCCTGGCCCCCAAAGCAGGGCCTGCGCAGATAGCACACAGGGTCTCCTCTCTGTGGAAATTAGCTGTCTTCTCTTCTCTCAGGGCCTGGCATCTGGCCAGAGGGCCAACATGGGGGAAGAAGAGAGCCACATGTCCCTTGTTCTCCTGAGTGAGGCTTTGTGGGGCAGGGACTCCTCTACGCCTAAAGCAAGGCTTTCAGGCAAGGATTTCAAGCCAGGTGTGAGGCAGGGCGGCATTGTGGTGAGGCAGTGGGACCCCCAGGGTTCATTCTGTGGGCTGTCACCTGCTCTTCTCCATCAGGGTGAAGCCAGCTGGGAAGCCACACAATCCCTGCTTGTTCCTCACCCCCGGGGTCTGTTGTGTTGCCTCCTACGCCCCTTCTACACAATGTGAGTGTTCAGCCTACAGTGTTCTGACTCAAAAACAGGCATTTCACTCAGTAAGCCACACAAAAATGTCTCCAACCTAAGCTCTATCCTTCTGAAATCATATAAATTTCCAGGAAAGGGAAAAAAATGTTTTTAACCACAAATCAAATCTTCAGCTTTTTTTCAAAGAACAGAAGGGATCATCTCACTCTCAAAAAAAGAAACAATGCCCAATAATATCCAGAACAAACAAAAGAATAAAAGCCCCTCAGAGGTTTAATCAGCCATGCAGATCATGTTTTACATCCTCAGCCAGTGGAGTCATATTCTGCTGCTTTTTACTTGCCCCTTCCAGGAAATGAATCATAGAGGCAATAATTCAACTGAGACTGCTCTTCGC